AGGCTGGTCTCGAACTCCTGAGCTCAAACAATCCGCCCGCCTCGGCCTCCCAGAGTGCTAGGATTACAGGCGTGAGCCACCGCGCCCGGCCATAAGATTTATTTTTCTCTACACAAAGAGAATAGTCAGCCTGTTTTTTAATCATCATTATTAAGTCAAAGTAATTTTACTTGATTATATGTATCTCAAAGCTATTTTAAGGTTAAAGTAGTAAATCAGATTTTAGAGTTTAAACTGGCACTCTAGTTTATGAATTCTATGATCTTGATAGAGTGAAATAGTCTAGATTATTTTTAATTAGATAATATTTACATAGTTTTATATTAATTATCACTTTTAAAAAGATAAATATCATTTCCCTTTTCTATCATATGATTTCTTTTTAAGGACAAATTCTTCCAGATTCCAGCATCAGAAATCCTAGTGGATAATGACCTTCAGAAAAGTATGGATATGATCATGGATATGATTTGTCCTTCAAGAATAAAAATTGGTAAGCAATAATATTTTAACAATACCACGCTTTCTTTTACTTGAAATAGCACCTAGCATATATCTAATCTGTGGACTTTTAGAAGTCTGAAAGCTATGAATCCACATGAATTACTAAGTAGTGATTACTGTATGATCCACCTTTTGATAAAGTCAGTGGCTGGGATAAAATAGGTATGAATCATAATTCCTACAATGAAAACTTGTAAAATATTTTGAAATATACAGAGGGGAGGCAGTTTTGATCACAAGCACATTTGATGCTGTATTTTATGCACACAAACTTTCGCTGAAATCAGACCAAAAAGAGATGAAATATTGGCAAGAAACATTTCCTATTAACAGACTTCAATTATCCAGTTTAATCAATGGAGAATTTTCTGTTACATGTTAAGATTTTACAAGATTTTGTTTTGTTCATTTTTTGTGAGTTTTACTTGTTTTCTTTATAGACATTTGATTAATCGAGTAGATCTTCTTGAGGTCAAATTGTACTGATTATACCTGCTGCCACTGAGTTTTCCTTCTGTGGCCGTTATTTCTATTTAATGTTGAAATGGCAGATCTAAATCATATTCCAATAATTTGATTCTTGTAACAATTTTTTATCAGTAAGAAATTTTCCCAGCTGCAGATTTAGCTGTTGTTGGTTTAACTTTTATAAGTTATTTTGAGCAGACTTTACTTTCCCCTGGTCAATCTTTATATTTTATAACAATTCCAGAATGGGAGTTCTCGTTCATATATAACAAAGCTCGACTTTAATACCTTTATTTGTTGTCAGTTTTCATTTGGGTTGGCTGTTGGATTCTTTGGAATAGATTTCTAAAATTAAAACTTTATATCAAAAAGCATGGACCTCATAGGCTTTTGATATGTACTTCCAGATTGCCTTTTAAAAATATTTTACCTGTTTATCATTCTACCAGCAGTGTAGGAGAGTGTCTGTCTTGCTTCACCCTTGCCAATATCAAGTGCTATATTAAATGCCTTTGAGACTCGAACTTGAAGAAACATAAGAGCCTTTTCTAGAAGTTATAAATAGATTTACTCTATTCATAACTAAAGCTTGGAAATGACATCTGGCTAGCTACCAGCACTGCCTGGGCTCTATACCTGCTGCTTGATCTGAGTTTTAGCTGGACTCATGTCAGAGCGTGGGCTAATTTGCAGTTCAGGTTCCGTTTCTTTCCAGTCCATCAAGTAGAAAACCTAGGGAGATCAGTAGCATTCAGCAGGAAAAAAAAAAGGAATAAAAATTGGGGGTGAGACAGCTCACTACCTTTGCTATCAAACATTTTGAAGACTCCCAGGTATAATCACTTTTATCTGTTGTTAGGAAAAAAATTCAAACTAGTCACAATTGCTGCAGAACAATAACATGAGTCCAGTGTGTATTTGGAATGTGTATTTAATAATATTAAATTTGGAAAGGGCATTTATTTACTTTTCAAGCTAAATTAAATGTTAATTTTTCTAGTTCAGCATTATGCTTAGATATATATATTTCAGAGTTATTTATTTAGTTTTGATGGTTAGATATCATTTTCTTTTTTATTTGTAGATTCCTATCCATGGTTGGAATGCTTCATCAAGTCATATAATGTCACAAATGGAATAGAGCAGCAAATTTGCTATCAGATTTTTGACACCACAGTTGCAGAAGATCTTATCTAATATTGCCATTCAACTTAATATATGTAAAATATTGTAATTTTAGAAAATGCTACTTTTTGAGATTGTTAGAAAACATGTAAGAAATTTAGTTGTTGTTGAAATACCATCCACATTTCCATTTTAACCACTATTTTAGGGTTTTTTTTGACAAATAGACATCGTGTTACCGTCTTGTGAACATGTTAATAATGTTCCTGTTTCTCCAGATATCCGGTATGAGGATGGCTTCTAGGTATATAAAAGAAAAAGAGGCATTAAACAAATACTGCATTTTCATTTACTCTTTGTATTCCCTTTAGAGAAGATATTTTGTTTCCTTGCACTAAAATCACTTTTCCTGTTGTTTTTTTCATATATCAGCCACTGATTTCTCTGTCATTCACCATCCCTAGTTGGGCTTCTTTTCCTGCCCTGGTTTTTTAATATCAGCAGTGTTGATAATTTTAGCATGGGTATGGGATTAGAATATGTCCTTACCTTAAATCTGTTGTCTTTTACTGGGTACAAGGTAAATGACAGCTACTGGTTTGGTTTGGTTTGATTTTATACAGAGGGATCTGCTTAAACAGCACTTTTTAGAGAAGTGTTTGTCTTAGTGAGCTGCAGTGTACTAAAAGTGATTTGCTCTAAGTAGAAGTGGCAAATTTGTTTGACTGTTGATACTGACCATTTTAGGATAAATCCATTTCTTTAGACCTGAATGATATGTGCTTTGCTTGTTTCCCTCCGTGGTATTAAAAGTTGTTGCATCCCACCTCAGGCTAATAAAGTGGTCAGATTTACAAACTTAGTAACTTATTTATAATGTTGGTGACCCTTTTTTAGTAGTCTCATGAAAATATACCTATATTACTAGTTTTCACTAATTGAATGAGATGTTAAATCAGTATAATAGTCTACTTTTTACCTGACAGTGTTTGTCAAATTTAAAATCATGAATATTCAATTTTCTACAAATATGTCTGTATTTGTATGTATGTGTGAATGTGTATGTTATTTGCTGAAGTCTCAGAGATACAGATCTGCCTAGTTCAATGTTAGTGAAGAATAAAATAAATGCACATATTTCAGTTGTTTCTTTTATTTGCCCTATGTTGAGCTAAGAAATGATAGGAGGCAAAGAATTTCAAAGCAGGTATTGTGCAAAGTACTTAATATGTATTTGAACCTTACTACAACCAGTTTTCCTGATAAGAAAACTAAGGCTTGATTGATAAGCTGATTTGACTAATTTCACATAGTTTTGTGAGGTTTTTTGAGACAGGGTCTCACTCTATTGCCAGGGCTAGAGTGCTGTGATGTTGTAACAGCTCACTGCAACCTCAGACTTCTGGACTCAAGCGATCCTCCAGCCTTAGCCTCCTGAGAAGCTGGGGATACAGGTGCCCAACCACAAACCCGGGTAAAAATTCCAAGGTGTTTTTTTGTTTTGTTTTTGTCTTTTTGTAGATACTGGGTCTCACTATATTGCTCAGGCTGTAATTTCACACTAGATCAGTACTTAAATTCAGGTAATCTCTATCCAAAGCCTGTACTGTTAACCACTCCATGATTCTGGAACAAAAGTTAGCGTGGAATTTTCTGCAAGTGAGTTCTGTGTTAAATATCTGAAGTAACACTGGAAATTGATTGATTTTAAAAGGAATCATTGTGTTTTACTGACAATCAAAAGGCTTTTAACACCTTATTGGCACAAAGAATTGGATAACTGATTTCCTCCACACGTAATAACCTTAAATTCTAGCTCCTGGATACATTAGCACATCTCTACACCTAACTACCATTCTCCCCCATCATTAACTTACCAATTTGTTTGAGCCAGTGAAAGAGACTGATGCTTTTATTGTAGGAATGTAAACTCTGAGTTCAAAACATTTTCAGGGGAAAGTTTTAAAACCCTATGGTTGAACAGGTATGTTTCAGTATCTGTGATGTGATAGGGATACAAAGGTGAGATACATGTTTTTTCTGCCTTCGGGAAGTACTCAGTCTAGAAGAGCAGGAGTCAAAAGGCACTGTGGATTTGCACTGTGAACCTGTGGAATCTCCAAGTTTACAAATGAAAGCTCTTCCTGTGAATCTTCATGATGATAGGTCATTCCTCTTTTTATTTTTTGTTTTAAATAAACCTCCGCATTGTCATGATTTCTTTTGGTTTGTTATGAAGCTTTTTCCTTAACTTTCCTAACGTTCTTTTTTTTTTTTTTAACTTTTCAGTTTTGAACAAGAATTGTTCCATCAACACCTAGTATTTATCCAGTGGCGATATATACACCTTACCCTAATCAGGAACCCAGATTGTTATTGTAGAATTCCATTTCTGGAGAACCGTGATGGTATTTCATTGTACCAAGATTTGATCCTTGTCCCCTTTATGTGAATATTGGCAGAATCTTCCTGTCAGAGTTAAAATTACATAAATTTAAGATAGTAGTTTGTGTACAGGCTCTGCCTCGATTTCCAGTTTCTGCAGCATCCATTTTTTTAGACACTACTGGATTGTCTCTTGTCCCTGCATTGTTCTGTGGGAGAAAGAGAATGCACATCTTAGAATATCTGAGGCAGCCGATTATTCTTTTTCTAGATGCAGTAATGAAAAATGTACTGCTCACAGGCCACTTTGTGTAGCCACCTTCAATTATACTGCTTTGTTTGAGGGAACTATACATGCCAAGACACAGTGTATCATTCCTATTTTCTTTCTTCCCTCTGCACCTTGGGAGCTGTTTCTAAATGAATATAGAAACACTGGTGTTGATGGAATAGAAGAAGCTGAATACATCTCTGTGTAGCTAAGAAAGCTGTCTTCACACAACAGGGCACTGGCTGCCCAGGTTTCTAATTGGTGTAGATCCTGTGCCTTAGCTTCTTGCAGGTCACAGGAATAAGCCAAAGTCTTTTCCCTGCCCACTTCCCAGCTGACTGTGCAGTCCTGTTTCAGAAACCAAAGCGTGAATTTGTTACTACTTCTGACTTTCAATCCAGCCAATTTTCTCCTACAGTTTCTGGGAACTTTCCTTGGTATCTAAGGGAAAAAAGCTAAATTCTTCTGATAATTTTCAATGTTGTTTTAAATTTTGACGTTACATTTCATCATGTTTTGTGTTTATCCAGACTTTTTATTAATAAAACTAGTATATACTAGTAAGAATTTGAAACCACATAGGATATGTAAAGTTGAACTAATTCCTGCCCTAAGTAGTACCCGGGAAGAAACCACTTTTAACAGTTTGGTGTGTGATTTTCCAGACTGTTTTCCCTAAGAACATGTGAATATATGTATTTATACATTCTTTAAATAACATAATGTTATATACTTATGCAACTTTTGTCACTTTATATAGTGAACTTTATTTTTTACATGTCAATACATATAGAGGGAAAAAATCACTGCTTGTCATTACTCAGCATAAGTAACTTTTCAGAGGGTAAGTCTCTGATTATTTCCCTTTCTATTTCTGTTGTGGTTTTTTTGTTTAAGTGTTTTATTTCTTATGGCAATTTTGGAATTTTATATTTTTATAAGAATGTGTCCTTATTATCTGTTTTGTCACCTTATTACCTTATAGTTATTCATAATATTATGTTGTTATTTCTTATTATTTTAGTCTGTGTTTTATCTGGTATTAATTCCTTTTTAAATAAATCTAGAGACCCTGGAACCTGGTTTCATTATATCTCCTGGAGGTTTTCGAGCAATCATAATTTTAGAGCCCTGCCTGTCCAGACTTCCTAATAGAGATTAGGATTCTGCCATGACACAGTTCTCTTAAAATACTCTTTCATGCTTTGAAAAATTCATTGTGAAGAGAATGTCAATGCAAAAAAGGAGAATGCCTTCTGTGATGCTTTTTTTTAGGAGATTTCTGCTCTGTGAAGCCTATGATGAGTCACACTAAAGTTCTAGAACATTATTTTAGAGAAAATGAAAATATTTATTCCTCTGCTGGCCCCACAGGGTCTCTGGATAGTATCAAAGGCCTCTACCCATTTTAGGAAAAAGGGGTCTAGTCAGCTAGTAAAATCTGGGCATAATGATGTGTTTTTTCCCTCTAGTACTTTGAAATAGGATCAAAACTCGCTAAGCGGGAACTCACTAGTGCATTCAGACATGTGAGATCATATTGCAGTCAGGAAATCAGTAATGCTGTGTATTATTTTTCTTCCTGCAGTATTGTGATTTTAAGCTGTTAGGAAATTTGAGATCAGTTAAGGTTTCAAAGTGATGATCATCTTACATGAAGATAAATGTCCCTTCCATTCAGGACTGCATTTGATAGGTTGAGAAGTGTGAGGTATCAATTATAAGGATAATGTATCAGTGTACATAGGAGCTCTCCCTCAAATGTGCTAATTGGTGAAACATGGATTTCAGAGACTTCTTTGCTATTTTTAGACTATAGCAACATCTTAATGAATTTCTGGGGTTTTTCACCTTGAAATTTAAGCCACAAAGTCACATTGACTGTGTGTGTGTGTGTGTGTGTGTGTGTGTGTGTGTGTATGTGTGTGTGTATGCCTGCTTTTATTCTCTGCTTTGAATTTGCATTTTAGGATACTATATTGAAATTTACCCAACAGTGTAGTCCACAACTGCCAAAAAAAAGCCATTTTCAACTTGTTTGAAAGTTTTTTAAATTTTATTTGTTTGCTCACAGTATTTTGAAGACTTGGATCATGTGTCTGTTAAAAATTTTAACCTTCCTATCTATTAATCAAATACTGTTGCAGTTTCTAAACAAGTACCTTTTTATATACAACCCTGAAGCTTCTTTTTTTTTATATGGCTTCAAAATGATTTTTTCATTCTTTGAAATAGGAACCCCAGATAAAAGTTTTGTTGCATAAAAACTATTTCTCAGCAGACTTTCATCCTCCATTAGAAGGCAAAGTCCTAGAATTTAAAACTTCTTGCCAAATTTAGCTACTTCACAAGTAACCTTCTGTCCCGAGCTTCTATAACAGTTAATATATACATAAATAGTTAATACAAGTCTCTCAGCACTACAGGGAAGGTAAGACATTTTAAAAATCAAA